GCAGAGCTCACAAATTCATCTTCACACACACCACAGACGCACGCACACACACACCACACAGACACTGCAGAGCTCACAAATGCATGTGTTCACACACACACACACACACACACACACACACACACACACACACACACACACACACACTGCAGAGCTCACAAATGTGTTCACGCACGCACACACACACCACACAATTCGACTCTCACACAGATTCTCCCTCCTACGCAAGCGCACACACATTCCCCCTTTCTCGCCTCACACACACACACACACACACACTCTCTCTCTCTCTCTCACACACACACTCTCTCTCTCTCACACACACACACACACCCCTCCCCCTTCCATTCTCTCACACACACATCCTGCCTCACGCTCACATCACATACAGTCACATTCTCTCTATTCTCTCTCTCTGTAACTCACTTGTACATACATACACTCAGACAAATACACACGTAATAACACACACATACACACCCCTCCCCCTTACACAGGAATCCTGCCACTCTTCCAATACACACAAATACACACACAGATCACAAACATACACTCCACCCCCACTCTTCCAAACACATCCTGCTTTTCCTTTATCACAGATACACACACTTCATGTTTTATGGGGACTTTCCATAGACATGATTTTTATACTACAAACTGTATATTATATCCCCTTACACTAATCTGAGCCATAAAAGTAAACTTTCTGCATTTTTACATTTTCAAACAACATCACTTAGTATGATTTATAAGCGGTTTTCCTTATGGGGCCCAAAAAATTTGCAACCTGTTTGAATGACAGTTCATATATTGCCATTTATTGCAGTGCAAGTTTAAAACACAAACATAAATAATAAATTATTAAATGGTAGTGTTTGTCTTTCTTCTCCAATTCAAGTCATCTTCATACAGTAACCAGGTGCTGAATCCTTAATGCTCTTCCACCAGAGTTCACCTCACAGTACATCTCCTAAGTCAAAGGCCATACCAGGCTCGCTAAGATATAGATTTTGAATAGATATTTAACATGTTAAAATCAGCGTAAAGGTACAATGACTTCAATCATCATGAAAAAAGGCTAGTTTGTAGACTTTTCTCTGTCACTGGATGACCAGAGTCACATCTGACAAATTGACCTGGAATAAAAAAAGGCAGAACTTTATGCAGCCAGCAGAGGGCATGAGTGATCCATGAGTGTGGATGGGGAATTAATCCAGACAAACATCAACAGATGGTACATGTAATAACTCCCACTGCACATGTAACAGGAATAAGAAGCATTTGTATGATAAATGTGAAGTAGCCTTTTTAAGGTATACATCACTGCTTGTACAGTAGATTGTTCTAGATATCTGTAACAGTAGATTATCAAAAATACAATTCTTTCATCATTTACTCACCCTCATGTCCACCCAAATCTGTACACAGAATAAGATAATATATATATATAAATGTATATATTTATATATATTCTTTTGTGTTCCACAAAGGAAAGTAATGTATACAGATTTGAAATGACATGAGGGTGAGTTAATGATGACAGAATTTAAATGTTTTTGTTTGAACTATCCTTTATAAATGCAAATAAATGCATACAGTATTTTTTTTTATATACAAACAAAAAATGAGATATTATCCAACTTTGGAGTTTCTTTGATCATCATGATCACAAAAAAGTTTGCAGTGTCTGTTAATGCTTAACAATCTAAAGGTCAACAATCTTAAAAGGTAATAAACCATACAGTACATGTAAGAGTTTTGATTAATATTCAAAGGTATTTACATTTTTGCTACAGTTTAACATCTTATTTAAAAGTAGAAATATATTAAAATAACTTTTCATAAAATAATATCTTGTTCAGACCCACCCCTCCTGCTTTCCACATGCGGGAAGGCTGAATTCCAGTGACTGCATCCAGATCCTCTGACTCTCTACATTCTCCATGCTGTAATGAAATTCCTTTACCTCATTCTTATCATACGGTCCTCTTCCGCTCCACCCTTTAACTCTCTTTCTTATGTTCTCTTTAGTCACATATCTAAGTCTCACTTCCTTATTTTCCCGGCGCCTCCTTTCCTTGTCCTTCGGGACATTGTCTTTGGTGTTTTCTCCATTTCTGCTGGCAGAGAGTGGAGGGTATCTGATGTTTGGCCAGTCCAGTGCACGAGGTCCTGCAGCACTCGCACAATCCACATCTTCAGACCGAAACTCCCACCGGCCACCTGACCATCCAGCTCCTTTCACACAAGCACATACAGATTGTCTATGAAATTTAGACGTTTCATCAGAAAGCTTTACATTCAGGGTTTGAAATGTACACCTGCCAACCCGCCAAATGCGGGTAAAAATCAACTGTGGCGGGTAACGCTTTCAAATCACTAGACAATTTGGTGGGTTACTTATTAGTTAATCTGGTTTATTTTTTCTTCTTTTTTAGGCTAATAGAAGTTATGAAAAATTTTTTTTTGCCAAATTGGCCAGTGAGTGAAAAAGTTAATTTCAAACCCTGTATGTATATATATATATATATATATATATATATATATATATATATATATATATATATTATAAACTGTGACATAGTTAATCTGGTTTATTTCTTCTTCTTTTTTTCTTCTTCTTTTTTTTCTTCGGCTAGAAGTAGTTCTGAATGGCTGGTAACTTAAAAATTTAGTAGCCAAATTGGCCGGTGAGGGAAAAAGTACATTTCAAACCCCGTTTACATTTATGAGAAAACATTATATTTAAAATGGCGTGCTAGACATGTTAACTCCAGCACCTCTTTAACTTCAGCTTCAAATTTCTGGCCATCCACTAGTAGCTGCCCTGTGCTTGCCAACAGGTGTACCAGACGATCCCTCACAGTTTTCCGTTTTCTCCTATACTCGCTGTCTTCATCGGAAAAATCTGCGTCCTCCCGGGTAATGACATCTTCCAGAAGTCGCAGACACTCCTTGAGTGCAGCGTGCAGGATAGATATTTTTTCTGTATCTGACAGCTGAGGAACCAACGGAGGAATGGATACTAAATAATCTCCGGCAACCGGTGAGGACGGCAGTGATTCACTGTTTCTCTAAATGGGAAGACAAATGAGTTGTGGTTACAAGGAATCACCAGATGGAAGAAATTGTAAACAAACATGTGGTAAACATGACAGTGAGTAAAAGCAGCAATTAAAATAAAAGATAGAGGAAAGTAAACTTATTCCTTATACAGTCAACACACAATTTCCAAAGGTCACCTGAACTTAGATTTAAAACTCCCAAAAAGTTGCTAACTTTTGGAAAAGATACTAAAAATCTGAATAAAAAAAAAAACTCACTATATTTTAGCCTCAGCTTTAACCTGAAAGTTTAATGCCCATAGAAGCATGTAGGCTAGTTGGCATATTATTAAGTCACTAATTAATAATGTAGCACCCTCTGAAGCCAGGCTGGTCCTCAGCAGAGCAGCTCATTAGGTTGAATAGTAAACAGATGTTGCTCACCTATTTCAAAAGAAAAATGACTCCATTACATTCCAAACCGCTCCCACGTTTCAGGCTACTTTTCCAAGAAACAAGCCGAAACTTTAAAGTAGCCTACGCTTGAACATTCATGGAAAACAACAAGGAGGTGGTGCTGGACCTGAATAATTTGGCAGGTAACCAAAAATGTATTTATTACTGGAACAATCGCGCTTTATAGCCTGATCCATCCAGAAACAAGTTCCGTCCCCTGCGCGCACCGACAAGTCCTGGATAGCACAGACAACGCTGTCACTTCTAACGAAGGCTATTCATTTGCTGCCTCCTCCAGACATTCTTTTAACTTGCTAAATGTCATGATGTCGCAGACTTCAGTTTGCGTCACACTCACCACCAGACCATAATTAGGAAAGACTCAACAGTTAAATATAATAATCAGATTAGTTCTGTATAAATAAGCTCTATTTTTGAGACTCACGTATGCCTCCAGGAGTTGAACGCATTCCTTATGAAGAAGCCGGGCTAGAGCTGCGGTTCTCCCTGCGTGGCCCCGCAACCCATGACGACCGTTTGCACCTCTGCCAGCCATTTATACTCAAAAACACCTACTGTTTGAAAAATAACGTTTGAATCAACAGCAGGAATAAATCAGCATGTTCTTGTTTTCACTATCCCCTATACACTACCGTAGGCCGCCTATGGATGTTGAATGGCGATCCTCGGGCGCTGTTTCTCACTCCTTATATATTTTCAGTTATTTCACTGTGGTCAACTCTCTCGCACAACTTCCAGAAACGCTGTTCACCCCTTTGAACTGAAGATGTAGCTCTGAATTACCCGTGACTCCGCCTCCTTATGGGAACGTGGTGCGTTTGAGGGGCTGGGAATATCAAGACGGAATTTCATTGGCCTAGAGTTCTTCATACCAATGTATAATACCAAATGCAAACTGGAAAATATAAACAAATAAAAGGAAAAAACACTCAATAGAGCTGTGTGCTTTAACATCAGGATCCTTTTCGAGCCTCTGGAATTTCCTATGGGTTTTCAGAAAAGCAGATTTTGGTTTATGAGTAAAATTAGGAATGTGGTTTACATTTCACATGTTTTGTTTTACAAACTTGAATTGCACAATTCATACATCAAATGTGAATTTTGACCATCACATATGATGTTAAGTTTTTGTCTGTTGTATTATTAGGGGGTTTAAGTAAGTGGCAATGTTTGCAAATTATAGGAAAATCTTTAAAGAAATCGCACAAAGAACCGAGTCCAGAATGATTCTGAGGACGTATCAATGTAAAAGCTGATTTATAATTCTTTTTATAAAGAAAATACACTGATTTATGTTGTAGCAAGTTGCTTAAAGTCCCTGTAAAGGCAATTCTAAAAAAAAAAAATTCTAAACACATTATGTTAGAAATCTATTGCTAAAACACATTACAAAGACTGTGATCTGTGAAGTACTGAATTGTGAAGTTAGACCGTAAAACAGTTTTGCACCATTGCTGTGTTCAGGATTTTCTGGGCGGGGCTAAAACGGTGGCTCGATGACGCACTGGAGCCCCTGAGCTCCTGGCCCCGGCCCTATACTGTCGATGACGCACTGGAGCCACTCAGGCTGGCCCCTCCTCGTCTAGAGCACATTCGCATCAGTTCGCCTCTCAATCGCGATATATCAGTAGGCTACTATTAGTTAGTTACTACAGCAAAGAGTAGAAGTACCTCTTTGACTACAGCCTACAGTTTGCTAGTAGCTAGCTATGCCTTCGTCACGGAACACCTATTAGGTGTTTACGTAGGCCTACCTGGATGCGATCACTTACAAAAAAGATCGGTGTCCTTGTTTAAATTTCCGAAAAACGACCATATTAAGAAGAGGTGGATTAATTTTGTGAAGAGCCACCTTGATGGAGAGCTGAGGATCACCACCAACACCCACCTCTTGTAGTGATCATTTTACACAGGATAGCCCTCTGGTCCTCTTCGTTCAAAAATGACCGAAAACTTTTACGTTTTGAATTATTGATTTTTTTTTTTTTTTTTTTTTCTTTATCGGAATGGGATGACACTTGGTGACTTTTGTTGTATTAGCTATGTTGTGAACACAAAAAAAATTATGGACATGATTCGGATATGTTAAAGGGTCGTGGACTCGTGGTCAGGCCATAGGAAATGAATGGGAAATACAATAGGGGACGCCAGGAAGTATACTAACATTTTTTTAATGTTGGTCTGTAGGCTAACTCATGCGTCATTTATTTGAGCTGTGTCTCAAACATATAATAGTCCCATATTTGTCTGCTATAAGGATCTACACCCTCTACCTTGTGTGATCTATAGTGCCAAGAGTGTCAAAAATAGGTGTGACATTAATAGGAAACATGGACATTGTAAATTGTGCATAAATTTTATTGTGGAAATCAATTTTTCAGAATTACTTGCTATAACCCTCCTTTTATACAAGTTGTAACATATTAATTATGCATATAATTAGGTTATCCACAAATGATGTCATTATCTGACTTAAATAATAGTCTGTGATGTATTGGTCTGTAAATGTAGAGTATTTGCTCTAGTGTTCTGAGGGCCCTATTGGAGGGGTCTCTTGCAGTGAACACATATTCCCGCATAACTGATGGGTTGTATACCATTCTTTGTAACACATCCATGCAAATTATCAAATAAAATGACATTTATAATTTAAATGTATCTTTTATTTTTAATATTTATTTTATAATCCAAAAGTGCATATGCTATCAGTCAGTCAGTGGATGCATATTAAGAGCTGCTGCAGCTGTGGAAAAGTGATAGATCAGAACATGTGTCTGCTTGCAGACTGTGCATGAGAGAAGATATAGGCCTAGCTGTTGCCATATTCCTTCCTCCACTGATAACAGCTGCAACGAAAACTCATCTTAAACTTTAAAAATTCATTGTAACACTGTTAATTTACAGGATCCAGTATAAATGGATAATACTTCTTCTGTATTATATGAATGCATCCTGCAAGCTGTTCCACAAAGTGGTGGGGACAAAATAGTCCTTAGTAAAAAGTGACATGTCCCATGGAGACCAAATGATGCCTATGTCCATCACCACATTAGGTCCGTTTGAAAAGACTTGTATATCCCAGTGTTGTTTTAGTATTATTTATACATTACAGGAATTATCAATATTTTGAATTGGCTTTTATTTTATATTTTCAGTTTTAATTTTAATTTGAGTGCTTTTGTTATTTTTATTAGATTTCATTAGACTTTTTTTCTATTTTCTATTATTTTCATATTTCAGTTTTTGTAATTTTACTTCGATTTATATATATTTTAAAATCTGATAAAATGTTTAGATTTTTTGATAGCCATAGTTTTAGTTAACAATAACAACACTGATATTCTCATTGTGAAGTGTGAATCTGTAATTTAGTGCATTTGTTTAGGCATGTTGGTCAGATTTTAAAATGTCAGGTATTTCAATTTTTCCCCACACCACTTCTGCTCATGTGATATCATTGTCGCAATACCATTCCGCGCCTCGCGGTGGCGTGGCACATTACTTTTTCTTTCCACGACATTCTGGGGACCAAGAAGAAACACTGACATCCGGATTAAGAAACGACTGACAATTTAATCTTCAACGAATCATATTGACAAGTATTTGAACGGTTTTGGATCACAGTTGTCATTTGTGATATTCGAGTGGATATGAATTCGCTTGTGGGATACGGGGTATCATCTGAGTCAGAGGATGAAGAGAAGGGAGAAGACTATCAAAAGGAGTAAGTAATTCATAATTCACTAACGTTAGACAAATACATTATCCATACTTTTTAAATCAGTATGGTGTTTTTCATTTAAAAGAATGCCAAGTGTGAAGAGTAGCATCTTTCCACAGTTGAAAACTTAAAGAATAGCTCTCTCAAAAATACAAATCGTCATCATTTAGCCTACTTAACGTTACTCTCATAATTACAAACCCATTGGACGTTCATTCCTAGGTGCAAAAAATAATATATATTTAATATACATATATTGTGTAGCCTACCATTGAAGAAAGTGAGGGGTTTCGAAAGACTAAGGATGAACAAAATTACAGATTTTTGTTTGTTTGTTTTTTGTTGCAAACTACACCTTTAATAAACTGAGAAGTGAGCATTTTTGACAGAATGGTCACCATTCACATGAATAAAAAAATGGGTAGCCTACACTATTCCTTTAATGAGCTGAGAAGGATCAAGTATCACTTTTTAAATAAACATCTTTAATTATTCCTGCTTAGGTCCTTCAAAAAGACGGATTGTGCTGTAAAGGAGGCAAAAAGCCGTAATTTCCTGTTGGAGTCGGAATCGCCGTCCAGTGAGTCTGAATCTGGTCCAGAGAACGAGGATCAAGAGGAGGCACCTACTGCCAAACGCTCCTTTTCTGAGTCCTTGCTGACCCAGTCCCTCCGTCCTCACACTCACAAGCTCCCGCCTCCACCTCTGGGAGGCTCCAGCTCGGGTGGAGCGCTTACAGGCAGCAGTGTGTTTGCTAACCCCTTCAAAGTAATGGCTGAGGAAAGACTGAATGTCCTGCAAAAACATGTACCTCTTACTTTACAAGCTCGCCCCACTCAGATCGGCGGTAAGCGCATTTGTGTGGCCTACAGGAAGGATGGTCGCTGCCGCTTTGGAAGCCGCTGCAAGTTCGCACATGACAGCGATCTGCAGAGTAACTGTGTGGTCACCTCTGCTAATGGACCAAAAGACGATGATAATGTTGCAGGTTCACATAATCGTGATCCGCTGGCTTCTTGTGTGGAAGACACAGACCCAGACGGAGAGAAAGACAATGAACAGCGAAAGAAAAGAAGAGTGGGAGTGAACGATTCTCTCATTCCACCAAAACGTGCACTCAAGCAGTATGCCAGACTCTCACACCCCTAAAAGACATTATAATGCTGCTCATTGGGCAACAACTCCCTTTTATGTGAAAATCAGTCATGATGCTGTGTGTTATATTTATTTAATTAATATGCTACTAATAACATCATCAGTCTGTAAAATGTGGAACCTTTTTCCAGAGGTCATTAAGACAAATGGCGATGTGGTCAATGCAAAAAGAGACTCTAACAAATATAAGAAATAGATGTCATTTATTTAGGTCTGTAGTTTCCACAATTTTTTTTTATTTTTTTATCTTACATTACCGGTAGTTGAATTCTAAGGTTTTGAAACAATGAATGTAAATACGCATACATGTTTGTTGCCTTATGATTTTAAAAAATATACTGTAGTGTATATGGTTAATGTTCAAACTTCTTTCAAAGTTTCTCTTTTTCACTTGAGCTATTGTGGTTTATTTCTACTAGGGATGCACAATGTATTGGTGTATTATCTCTTACTGGTGATAGAACATTTCCCCCCCATAAAATTGGCTTGAAGAAATTAGGTATACACTTACTGTACATTCACAAGTTTGGAGTCAGTAAGATTTTTTTTGTGTGTGGAAAGGAAGTAGTATGTTTTATTCAGTAAGGATGGTTTAATTTGGTCAACGGTGACAGTTAAGACATTTATAAATAATGTTACAAAACTTTATATTTCAAATAAATGCTGTTATTTTAAACGTAATCATTAAAGAATCTTGAAAAAATTGTATTACAGGTTCAAAAAACCAAACAAAATTTTCAACATTGATAATAACAAGAAATGTTTCTTGAGCAGCAAATCAGCATATCAGAATGATTTCTGAAAGATCATGTGACACTGAAGACTGGAGTAATGATGCTGATCAGCTTTGCCATCACATGAATAAATTACATTTTAAAATAGAAAAGTTGTTAAATTGTACTAATTATTTCACAATATTACTGTTATCACTGTATCAAATAAATGCAGCCTTGGTGAGCATGAGACTTCAAAAACAAAACAAAAAATCTTACGACCCCAAACTATTATATGGTAGTGTTTGTCAGCTAATATTGTATATTTAGTTTGTTTCCACCATTTATGTAACCTTCATCATCATTGTATTCTCACTTAAAGTTAATCTTTAAAAATGCTAATCATTTATTAACACTGTTAAATGTAATATTTTTAGGATTTAATTTTTAACTTTGGACAAAATAGAATAGAATTTTAACATGGATGGACCATAAAATGACAATAATTATCAGCTCATCTGTAATATGGAAGCATCCCTAGTTTCTACAGTACCAATTCAAGCCACATGATGGCACAACTTTGCTTACACAATGGCTTTACTCACACAGACTACCATGAATTGAGTTCTGCGAAAGCCTCTACAGCCACAAAACAACACACACACACACACAAAACAGATGTGGTTGTTGGAGGGAACTATAACTGTTTATATACAAAATGAACAATGACAACAACTCAAACACTCCCTGGTACAGACATTTCTACAAAGCTACCAAAAGTTAATGCGATTACATACAATATATTTATGACTCTATATATTTAACTTCAGGGCATGTAGGAGGGTGACAAATAACAGTCATCTCACTTTCCTCCATGTTACACCAACTTCCTTCACTACATCAGAACACGCTGCATCTGGCCGTCTGAACTGTCCGTCATGTTTTGCTCCTCCCCCTGCCCACCCGCCTCCCAAACCCCACCCACATTTCCATTCTCATTAGTCCCATCTCCCTCCCAGACCACCTGTCTCGCCTCCGAAGGGGTATTGGAAGGCTGGGGAGACGTAGATGAAGAGGAGGCAGGATTACTCCCAAATCCCAAACCGCTCCGGCAGTCAGAGGGTACCTCGGGCAGGGTTTGGGAGAGGAGGGGAGTATTGGGAACCGGGTTGTGGCTTGGGAGCCTAGGGAGGGTCCGGTTTTGATGTTGCTGGGTGGTCTGAAGAGGCATCTGCTGTGCAACAGAAACCATTGGGAGCTGCTGCTGAGGAAGCCCTCTGAAGGACATGTGGACAATCTGAGACTGGGGGCTGTAGGACTGCACGGGCAACTGCTGGACCAAAGCAGCCTGCTGGGAGACGCTGGTAGCAGAGGACTGGAGGGGGAGCTGCTGAATTTGGTGGTGTTGTTGCTGCTGCGAGACGGGCGTAGAGATGAACTGTAGAGGCATCTGCAGAGCGTGTGCGGAGGTCTGCTGTGCAGGAGCGCTGTTCGCCTCTGTCGATGACATGGCCAGGGTCACCGGTACCTGCATGGAGTGCAGCGGGTGATCCTGATCCACAACCATCACTGGACCCACGTGCGTCACCGGGGCCACCTGACCGGCTGGCACCACAGAGCTCCCCTGGGCCTCAGGGACCCCCTGCTCTGTCTGTATGGAGCCCGTGGAGGTCTCCAGCAGCGTGGTGACTCCGGCAGGAGTAGTGATGAGGGCTCCGGCGTTGGCGGCCAAGGCCTCGGCAATGAGCACCTCGGGGTGGCTCTTGGCTTTGTGAGCAACCACACTGTCCTTCTTTTCAAACTTCTTGCCACAGATGCTGCAGGAGAACTGGTACGTGGCGTCCGCATCGTGCTTCTTCATGTGCCAGTTGAGGGAGGCCTTCTGACGGCAAGTGAAACCACAGATTTCACACCTAGGAAGGAGACGAGTGGGTGTAAAGATTTTTTAAAGATTTGCGACATGGAAGAGAGAAAATAATTCAAATTCTTACATTTATTCTATTGACTATAATAAAGAATGTAGAAGGGTTTTTTTTGTGGAAAATTATGTTTTTTTTTTTGAAAATTATATGTTAAAGGTGACGTGTAGTTTTGTCAGTAAAAAAAAAAAGAGCATTTTTCCTGCTTAATATGGTGAGGGAATGATTAGGCACTGGTAGGTTTCCCCGTAAATTAAAACATCTTGATGGAGCAACATTGACTCAACCAATGGTATAACTTTGAGGACAATTTTTGTTTGTCCTACCAATGTAAGACAGAGTTCAAGAAATCTGTCTGAAAAAGTAGAAACAATTTTCACTCAGACTTTGCCAGTAAATTTCACAAATACTGTACAAAGAAACAGCAATTAAAACGTTGAAATAAATGTGAAATTTTTAATTTGAAAAAATTATATAGTATTTTCTTCTGATCTTTGAAAAATATTTTTTTTTACAATATAGCAATATCGTTTTACAAAACATATCAAGAGACTGTACGTAATGCCTTACCTAGGGCGTTTTTACACCTGTGTCATTTAGGCATATATGAACATGGCAATCGTGCTCGGATCCACACCAAAACAATCGCTCCGAGATCCCCCGATTGTAAACGAGCAGGAATCAAGGCTAAATTCGTTTAAGTGTTTACGTGTCACGACAGCTACAGATAAAGCCACAATAAGCCCACAGAGCAAACTTCTCAATCCATCTTAATGGATGACACAGAGGAATGCAAACATGTGAACTCTGGCCAATGTGACTTGCATAAACACATTTTGGTACGCTTTGAAATGTTGCCTTGTGAAAGCGAACCGAACCAAGAAGAAAATGCAACATTGTAACAAATTAAGTCTCTGTTTCGGAACAAAGCAAACGATCTACAGGTCTGAAAACACAGTTAGTCTCCTCAATAGGCTCTATGCACCAACGCTGCTGACGTATTTCCGGTAGAATCTCAGCCAGTGTCTTTACCTCCGCTCCGCATAGCGCGTTCTATAGCGAAGTGTACTAGCGGCCAAACTTTAATAAAATTCATTTTCTCAGAAACGAGACAACAATTTTAGAAACTGATTTGCTAGTCAGATTTCGCATGATATGAGAGATTACTCACCCTCAAAGTTGTCGATGTAGCTCGAAATATATAATTTAATGCCCTTCTCTTTCTTACTCTTATGTGTGACAGCTAACTGCCTCACAATATTGTTAACATCATTCACGTTAACCGCTGGAAGTTCTTGTAAACAGCGAGTGTAATTTGCCCTTATCTCCACCTAATGCAAAAACGGCTTGCGACGCAGCACCGGATGTAACTGGGCGGGCTGAGACAAAACACGGAAGCGATCGTGCATAGAGCCTATTGGAAAAGTAATAGTGTGCAGTAGTGTGTAAGCAGCAGAGATATGACTTACTGTAGTGGCTTTTCTCCAGTGTGTATCATTCGATGCACAGCCAGGTTGTGAGAGCTCTTGAAGGCGCGAGCACAGAACTCACAGATATAGTCTCTCTGATCTGCAACACAGGCTGTACTTTAAAAAAAAGCCACCTAACCAAAGACCCTTCATTTCAAACTTTAGATGTGTCTGTCTTACCTGTGTGGTGCTTGGCATGGCGTAGTAGTTGTTTCTGCAGCCGGAAGAGTCTTCCACAAGAAGGGTGAGGGCAGACGTATTTCTTCTTCATCAGGTGTTGGTATTTAATGTGATGCTGCAGGGGAGAAAGACAACAGAAAGGTTTCAAGTCTAATTTCTGTGTTAGTAGGGGTGTAACGATTCATCTACTACATCGATGTATCGATTTATATTCCTATGATCCAACTACGTCGATCTGTGCTCGGCAAGTTGGCCTTCCAGACGACATATATCGATCTAACATCGTTTTAAAAGGTAATCAATCGATTTTATCGATACTAAATAACGCATTGGATTTAAGCAGGTCAGACTTTATATGGATGTTTTTTCTTAGCACTTTTAAGATAAAGGCGTTAAACGTTATTCGATTCAGTCTGCCTATCTGTGACGTCATCGCCACGCAAAGACAACAAAACAGCATGGCGAGCGAGCGAGAAATTATCAAATTATCAAGTCCAGTGTGTGGAAACTCTTTGGCTTTTGCAAAGACGGAGATGTTCTAAATAAGTCGCTCGCTGTTTGTAGGATATGTAAAGGTCAATTGGTTGCACTTTATTCAAATAAAATGTGAATGCATTTGCCATTAATTGTTGTTTACTTGTTGTTTGTTTATATCCATAATTAATTGATACCCGATTCCCTTACAAGAAACAACATGAATCTAGGAAACTTCACCTGCACTGCCCAGTATCCAGGTATTTATTTCAGTCACACTGGGTGAATTTTTGGCTAAAAAGTTACCGAATCGATTTTAAGTCACTGAATCTTTTCGGATCGTATCGTTCTAAATGAACCAATA